ACATGTTAAATGACACTGTGGAGGTGGATGCAACTAACCAAGTTCAGAATGTGGAAAAGATGACAAGGCAATGACTAGTTTCTTCAATAAACCAATTGCAGAGAACACACAAAAATGGAGGCAATATAGATTAAAAGAGATCAAGAGATGTACCAAACCAATTCTTTGCTATTTCTTCCATTGAGGGTTGGATTCTAATTTCCCTCCCCTTGAATCTGAGCTGGCTTTAGTGACTTGCTTCACCAGTAGAATGTAGTGAAAATGACATCCTGGAAATTCTGGGACTATTTCATAAGAAGCCTGGGAGTTGCCAGATGGGGCCACTTGCAGCACTATCTCTGGGATTCCTGAGCCTCCATGTAGGAAGTTTGAGTACTCTTAGATCGGTATGTTGCAGAGGCCAGAATATATAGGCCCAGGGGCAGTCATATGAATGACACCATCTTGGATCCTCCAGACCAACCATAGTCGATGTGGAACGGACCAGAAGGATTACTCAGCCAAGTATTGCTCAAATTACTAATCTATAATATGGTGAGATATAATAAAATGTCGTTTGTTTTTAGCTACTCAGTTTAGGAGTAGTTTGCTCTACAATTATAGATAACTGAATAACAGCTAATATTTTAAGAGGGACATTAAGATCTAGTGTTAGTAGAATGTGGTTTGCAGGAGGAAAGGATGAGGAAGAAAACAAGAAATACGTTTTTGGGTGTGCACAATTTGTGAGGTAATGTTATTTCATGATGAAAATGATACTTAATAAATAGTGTGGTGAAACTGAGGAATTGATTTCTTTTATTTGAGGTTTCAAAAATAGCTATGGGAAATTGGTATGGGGGGAAGAGAGAGAGAGAGATGCATAATTATTTTTCCCTTTATGAATGTGCATTCCTGACATCTCTGAGGACGAAGATTGTCCTGCAGGGAGTATGATTAAAGTTACAAAGAGGAAAACAAAATAAGTAAGTCAGCTCTTGATCCTGCTGCTATATTTACCCACAAGAAAGGAGGCCGCTCTCAGGTGGGCTTTTGTCTAAGTAATGTCCTGAAATCCAAGTGTAAAAGAACAATATGAAATCTCAATTCTCCCAAACGGTTTGGGGCAGTTCAGCCCTTGAGCCCCTGGGGGGCTTGGTTCCCAAGGAGACTAATCCCACTTGCTTAGCATTAGGTATCACTGGGGCAAAAGAGCTCTAGTTTGAAGCTCTGCAGAGAGGCCCTCGTGCAGGCTGGAGCTGGGTCCCTCTGCCCCATAGGATGTGAAACGTATTGATGTTGAAGTCATTCAAGTGAGTGTGGCTCACTCAGGGTGTAGGAGGAGGGGCCGATGGGCCTGGCAGGAGCTGGCCACTGACTGCTGAAACTAATTTCACCCCAGATAGAGCTCTTCCCCAAAGGAAAGTAGATCAAGGGGGAAAGCATCTGAGACCATGAGGTGGGGTCTCCATGTACAATTTAGTTGGATATTGGAAGCTCTAAGGATTTATTTTGGCCTCAGGTACTAGTTATTTCAAGTACAAGTTGTTCTTTGTTGCCTTATTATCTGTAGTTTTCCATAAATACCCTTACTTTCATATGACCATGCCTCTGCCCAGGCTGTTCCCACAGATATGGCTTGCTTGCTCGGTACACTCGAATGCATCATTTAAATCTTAGCTCAAATGCTACCTGCCTATGCAGGCTTCCCTGCCATTTCTGAGCAGACCTGAGGGTCCTCTGATCCCATCAATTATTGCACCTTTAAGTTACTTCCACTGAGGCATGTACTGCATTGTATTATAATGACTTGTTTGCATGTCTGTCTTTCCATCAGGAAAGATAGAGATCATGGCTTCTTATCTCTGTATTTCCCAGTCCTAGCTCCAATACTGTTGGTGTCAATAATGTCTGAATGAATAAGTGACTAGATGGATATTTTATGTATAAGGATCAATTTTGTGAATCAGGCTACAGAATTTCTAAGCCATGAATATCTTATATGTATGTACATAGAGAGCTTTATGGTTGACAAAGAACTTCCTCTTGCATTAGCTCATTGATTTTCACAATAGCCTTATCAAATAGGTTCACACTGTTATTCCCATATTATAGATGGAAACATTGGGCTTTTCTATAATCAGTTGGATAATAAAAGGCAGGATTGGACTCCAGTCTTCATCTCAGGCTCTAATTTTAGCTCTCCCTCTGCTACATTAGATTGCCTTTTTCTAAGTTTCTACAGCCTTCAAGTGGAGCTGCTCTCTTGCATTTGAAAATAGTCACTTTGTTGGGGGAAAGGACAGATGATGCTAATTTTATAGAGTGATGTGTTGGTAAGGAACTGGTGAGGCCTAAGGAATCAAGAACATGGATATTTGTTGAGCCCCTATTTCATGCCAGGAACTTTCATATGCACCAACTCACAAAATCTTTGAGGAGTTGAAATTATCTTTATTGTACAGATGAGAAAAGTAAGACTCAGAGGTATTATTTGTTATGTCATGTAATTCTCACAAAGACTCTGAGAACAGTTATAACCATTCCCATTTTTCAGATAAGGAAACTGAGCCTTGGGAAGATGAACTGACTGGTCCAAGAACCCACTAGCAAGTGAAAGGCCAGAATTTGAACCTGTCCTCATCTAACTCCAAAACAACTCTGAGCTTAAAACTCCAAAGGTCTGGAAATGAAGAGACTTTTACATATGACACCCTTAATATTCTATTTATTTTGAATATGATTATGTTAGGGCTTAGTTAACTCTCTGCAGATTAAGAGAGATTTTTCAGACTAAAGATAACAATTAAATGTAAAGTCCTATGCAATCTGTGTCTGGGGATTTGTAAGACCTGCTCAGTTAAAAGAAGGTGAAAAAAAGAGTGCTCTTAGCTGCCAGACATGGAGGCCTATGGAATGGTCCTGTCAAAAAGGGGAAGGAAAGTGCTGACATCCACATCTGACAGGTGAGAAACACAACTCAGTAACAGGCTCACACAATTTTCTTAGTGCAAATGTCACCAAGAGTAAAACAGATAGTCCAGTGATCGAAGACAAAATCCTGAGTGTAACTCTAATGAAAGGTACATTATAATTGAGCCACCTTAATTAAAAAAAATAAAAAGTTTGATTCAGCTATGTTGGCTTAGGAAGTGTCTACTTCATCTCCTAAATGGAGAGTGCTCATCTGGGTTCTCTTCTTTGATAAGTCTGTGCCTTCAGGGTGCTCAAAAATCATTTTGCTACATCCTGAAAAATGAGGCTTAAAGAAAAGAGTTTCATAAGAGATGGTCTGCATCTCCCTGAGGCAGACTCTGCATCTAAACTATCATAACTTACTTATTTGTTTATTTTTAAAGATTTATTCATTTATTTGGGGGGGAGGGGCAGAGGGAAAGGGAGAGAGAGAATCTCAAGCAGACTCCCTGCTGAGGCGGGAGCTCAATCTCACAATCCTGAGATCATGACCTGAGCTGAAATCAAGAGTCAGTCACTTAACCGACTGAGCCACCCTGGTGCCCCTATCATAACTTATTTAGAGAACACTTTATCACACACCTTATATGTCTTTTCTATCACTGTGTGTTCATATATGTGATCTCACTGAATCCTCATGAACACCCTGTGACAGAAAAGACATAAGGGAATATAGTCACCTTCTTGTGTTTTAGAGAAATAAGGGTGAATACTCATCACAGGGTATGCAAGAGTCAACAGATAAGGATTTTTCACAGGATGTTTCCTTTAAATATGACAGGTGCCCATAAGGTGGGCGACCCTTACCTGCATTTAATGTGAGTAAATTAAGGCAGAGAGAGGTTGGCTGGTTTGGCCAAAGCCATGTATTTATCAGAATATGGATTTTAACCCAAATCACAGAGCTACTGAGTGGTGGAGCTAAGACAGAATGGGGAACAGACACGTCTTCTCTGAATCATCTTCCGTGGTCTACAATATTGCTCATTTTTTCTATCCCAAGAGGATCGCCCAGGTGAAACCGGATCCAAGTGAACTTCAGGGTGATCCTTGAAATGCAACAGAAGTTCCAGAAGGACAACTTAAATGGCATGACAAGTAGGGGAGAGGTTCCCATCCATATTTTGTCCTAAGATGCTGTAAGTTTTATACACACATAGGGTTCTCTCTCAAGCACCAGCTGGCTTAGGGTAGTGACTCCATTCTCCTTTGCCTCCTGCTGTCTCTCTACAATATTAAAAGATAGGCCCAGTGCTTGCCTCGGTTTACTATAAGCTAATTGTTATTTGTAACAATAGAAAGAAGAGTATAATAGAAATAGGGTAGAAGAAGGATTACCGGTCTTGAGAGTCCTGTGGAAACTCCAATTAGAGCCTTAGGAGCAGGTCTATAGCTTGAAGACACATTAGTTGCCTTCTCTCATCATATAGATGAAGAGGAAAGGGCCAAGTCAAAGCACAAATTCTGTCAAGGACTTAGGAATGGCTTTGGAGTTGAACTGGACTGAATATGGCTTAGGCCAACTCACCGAACCCTCTGAGGCTGCTTCTTCATTTGTTAGATGGTGATAATAATATGCACTTATTATTAATAAGGGATATTGTTCAAAAATGAAATGTGATAATGTACACACAGCGCCTGGCATAAGCAAGCCCCCAATACCTGGTGGCTATTATTGTTACTAGAGCAGGGGGCTGAACACACCTCCTTGGACTCTTGCCTTCTCAGCCTCAGGGAGAGTCTCCCGCGCCAGAGCGTGGTGGTACAGGAGCTGGAGTTTGAGGCCAGGCCATCTTATCCTCGCCTCGTGCTGCTGCAGCTAGCCAACAGAAACGCCGCAGGGAAACGAAGGGGTTAAAGTGATGAGCTTGAGAAAGCCCTGAAAGCTGGAAAAACGCCCTCCCTCCCCCCCAACGCCCCCGGCCTGGCTAAGTAAGCCCCTCCCCTTCGCCACCGGGGCGGTAGCCTTGCACTCCCTCCCTCCGCCCCTCGCTTACAAGACCTAATGAGCTCCCCCGCGAGGCCAGCAGCGAGCCCGGCCCCGAGCGAGGAGGCTGCGCCGCGCGCGCCGCGCCAGGGCGGGAGCCGGGCCTGGGTCGCGGGCGGGAATCGGCCAGGGGCGCACCAGCCGCGCGGCGGGCCGCCTGGGAGTCGCGGCGATGGCGGTGCAGGCGGCGCTCCTCAGCACGCACCCCTTCGTCCCCTTCGGCTTCGGGGGCTCCCCGGACGGGCTGGGGGGCGCCTTCGGAGCCCTGGACAAGGGCTGCTGTTTCGAGGATGATGAGACCGGGACACCAGCGGGCGCGCTGCTGGCCGGCGCCGAGGGCGGGGACGTGCGCGAGGCCACCCGCGACCTGCTCAGCTTCATCGACTCGGCGTCCAGCAACATCAAGCTGGCATTGGACAAGCCCGGCAAGTCGAAGCGGAAGGTGAACCACCGCAAGTACCTGCAGAAGCAGATCAAGCGCTGCAGCGGCCTCATGGGCGCCGCGCCCCCCGGCCCGCCCTCTCCAGGCGCAGCGGACGCGCCGGCCAAGCGGCACCCAGCCGCCCCCGGCGCCCAGACCGTCGCGGTCCCGCCCCATGGCAAGGCTGCCCCCCGGCGGGAGGCGTCTCAGGCCGCGGCTGCCGCCAGCCTGCAGAGCCGGAGCCTGGCCGCACTCTTCGACTCGCTGCGCCACGTCCCCGGGGGCGACGAGCGGGCCAGGGGTTCGGTGGCGGCGCCCGTGGCCGGGCTCGGTGGAGCGGGCGCTGTGGGCTCGGGAGGGGACGCGGCCGGCCCCGCGGGAGGTACGGCCGTCCCCGGCGCCAGGAAGGTCCCGTTGCGGGCCCGCAACCTGCCGCCGTCCTTCTTCACCGAGCCGTCCCGGGCGGGAGGCGGTGGCTGCGGACCGTCGGGGCCCGGCGTGAGCTTGGGCGACTTGGAGAAGGGCGCGGAAGCCGTGGAGTTCTTCGAGCTGCTGGGGCCGGACTACGGCGTCGGCACCGAGGCGAGTGTCTTGCTCGCCGCGGAGCCTCTCGATGTGTTTCCCACGGGAGCCGCCGTCCTGCGGGGCCCCCCGGAGCTGGAGCCCGGTCTCTTTGAGCCGCCACCCGCGATGGTGGGGAGCCTACTGTACTCCGAGTCCTGGAGCGCCCCGGGCTGCCCCCCGACCAAGAAGCCGCCCCTGGCCGCCCCCCGCGGCGGCTTGACCTTGAACGAGCCCTTGCGCTCCCTGTACCCCTCTGCGGCGGACTCTCCCGGCGGAGAGGACGCGCCCGGCCTTTTGGCGTCTTTCGCCCCCTTCTTCTCAGACTGCGCACTGCCCCCGCCCCCGCCACCGCCGCCGCATCAGGTGTCCTATGATTACAGCGCGGGCTACAGCCGCACGGCTTACTCCAGCCTCTGGAGACCGGACGGCGTTTGGGAAGGGGCGCCCGGGGAGGAGGGGGCGCACCGGGACTGAGGGAGAGGTACTGTTGCCTGTTTGCGACTGCTGTGGGGAGCTCCCGCCTCCGGGTTTCTCCTAAGCCTAAGAACGATAGGAAAGTGCACGTGGAGATGAAACGGGATTTTAAAATATTCAATTAATAAAAGAAACTTAAAAAAAAAAATGAAGAGGAGTTGGGGGGGTTGTTTTAATCACAGCCTCAAGTGTTAAAAAAAAACAAAAACAAAAACGAAAAAAGCCGTTGGTAGGTTCTTCCTGGACCAGACAAGCAAGAAACCACGCCGGGCTTTGGGGAATGGGGTGGGGATGGTGGAAGGGACAAGGGGTGGCTTCTGTAGCCACCTGACCCTTCTACAACTTTTCAGCAAAAGGTCAGTGTGTTCAGTGTAATTGCCCCATCCAAACAGTGCGCTGGTTCCTCCCTTTCCTTCCCTTTTGAGTGCATTATGAATTAAAGCCTCTATTGAAAAGACTGGAGCGAAGATACGTTATTGATTGGGGTGTTTTCTTAGAGGACGGTTTTCGGTATGGTCTCCTTGCCTTGCGAGGTGAGAGTGGTATTGAGGACAGGAGGTCAGTGGCCCACTGCTGACCTCTGTGCGCTGATCCTTTTGCGTGCGACTCTTCTCTGACACTCAGTGTTCTCTGCTCCCTTCCTCTTCCATCTCATACTTCTATTTCTTTCCACTCTCACCAGTGCTGTTGCTTACTTTCCTTCTCTTTCTATGGTCTCCTGTTGCTCTCTCTTGATATTTTTTTCTTTCAGCTTTTCTTTATGTAGGAGGTTTAAATTTGGCAAACCTCGGGGTCCATTTCTCTTCTTTTCCCGTTCTTCAGCCACTTTGCTAAGGTGGCACTGGGCAAGTTACAATATCTTTGTATCTAAATTTCCTTATTTGAGAGGAAGGGGATAATATTCCTTCTCTTATCTCTTTATAGGTTGTTGGGTAGCTCAGAGGGGAAATACATAAAACTCCTTGGGGCTGCTTCATTGGTTTTGCAGGTATCCATATTTTATATACATGTATCAATAGTTTATACAGATGGAAGCCATTAGGATTGTGAGTCTCATGCTCTTTTTTGGCCTATGCCTGGTGATTGCCCTTTCCCTTACAAGCTGTAAATGCTATTTACCCTTTCTCCTTCTGTTCCACTCCCCACCCCACACCCCCTTGCTTGGTTTCTGCCTCCCTGTGTGTCCTCACTCCCTATACTCACACTCTCCCCGTGGAAGGGAATGGTGAGGGTATGAGTTTCCTAAGGAGTCTCTATTCCCTAAATAGCAGGGTTGATGAATGGAATTTGAAGGGCCCGGAAGAGTCCGATCTGTTATCTGAGAGAGATTTGGGGGAAAAGTCAGATAAATGTTTTAACCAGCCATAATGTGGCAGAGAGAACAGATGATGTCATCGGTGTGGTTGAGGGGCAGAGAAGGAAAGACTGGGTGGGGAGGGAAGCAGCTGGAAAGAAAAGAGGGAGCCCTTTAGTTCTGCAGACCTGCCATGAAAATGCATGAAGACCAACATTCAGGATGTGTAAGGAGATGTCATTTACTGATTAATGACATTGCAAAGAGCTGCCTCGGTTCAAGGCAGATTCTAAGAATATCTACATGTGAGAAAGTAGAAACCCCCGTGTTACTGCAAAAGATGTTAAAATCCAGATTAATGTTTGTACAAGTCAAAAGTGCTGTGACATTTTCAGAAAGGAATTTGTCAAGAAACTAATGGGTATCGAGACATGGCAGACAACTTTAAGTGGTATTACTGAGTCTCTTTATTCTGAATAAAACCTTTCTTAAGATAGCGCCACAGGAAATAGAGCAATGAATCTTGTTAATGATAAGAGAACTTTTTCAACTCCAGAAACTTGGTGTCTATTGGATTTCTTTCAAAGTGATAAAAAGTGACTAATTCCATTGTGTTAGCAGAATATTATTCAACAGTCGTTTAATTTCTCTGAACTACTTTATGATGAGTATTACCCAGGGTAGAATTTCACAGGAGGAAAACGTTAACAACCCTGTGACGATTACTAAGGCCATAGCAGGCACTGCAATGTTTCTTTCTTAATTTCTTCTTTCTTTTTATACCCAGTTCAGTAAAACAGGTTCTCTCTCTCCCAGGATTTTTCCATGCCTTTCATTAACAGTGATAATACCAACACTGTGTTTCCCTGTGCCTGCACTGAGCTCCTTAACAGTGCCATGAGGTAGGTGCTATTATTATCCCCGTTTGAAAAGAGAGGCTCAGACTTGTTAAATAACTTGTTGAAATCAAGTAATGGGCCCAAGATCCAGATCTACAAATATCCGAACAGCAAGACCTGCTGTGCTTTGCTAGTGTGTAGGGTCCCAGTCCCCTGCATTATGCTACCAACAGGGGTTCTCAACCTCACTGCTATTGACTTTTTGTTCAAGATAATTCATTGCTATGCAGGCTGTCCTGTGCATAGTAGAATGTTTAGCGCATCCCTGGCCTCTACCCACTAGATAACAATGACACTCCCCCAGTAGTGACAAGAACATCCCCATTACCACGTGTCCCCTGAGGGGCAAGATGGCTGCCAGTTGAGAACCACTGTGCTAGACAAATATAGAAACAGCGTCTATGGGGGGTCCCTGGCACTTTTGCAGACATGGTCTCATTTAATTCTTTTTTTTTTTAAATTTATTTGACAGAGAGAGAGACAGCGAGAGCAGGAACACAAGCAGGGGGAGTGGGAGAGGGAGAAGCAGGCTTCCTGCCGAGCAGGGAGCCCGACGTGGGACTCGATCCCAGGACCCTGGGATCATGACCTGAGCCGAAGGCAGACGCTTAACAACTGAGCCACCCAGGCGCCCGGTCTCATTTAATTCTTACAAAGGCCTGTGCTTAGGTATTTTTATAATCCTCATGACAAAGGAAGGCTGAAGGGAGGGGTTCCATCAATCAATTTAGCTATATCTTAGCTGTGCTAACTTACCAGTGGTGGACCAGTTACTCGGCCATATTGAGACACAGGCTTCCTGTTGGCAAAATTGAGTAACAGTCTTCACAAGGAGTTATCGTGGGGATTTGGCATAGGGAATGTATTAATACCCACCAAGAGGGAAGGGCTAGTTCTCAGTACCAGCCAGCCAAGGCTTGGCATTACGCCAAGGTTCCAAACCCCCATGTTATCCAGGACTCGGAGAACGTGTGCTTGGTCACTATGTAGGCTCCAATTGCCCCATGTCTGATTCCTCTTCTCCCCACATTGCCTTCCCATCTGAGCACATGTGTGTCTGACCATGATCATGCCAAGTGCTGTAGTACCGTAAGTAGCAGCCATTAATAATAGTCCGGCCAAGGGCTGACGTTATCGTTGCTTCCTCTCATATGTTATTTTCTAGTGCAGCCTGTTAGAAAGTATTTTTGTCTCTTGTTGAGTCACATAAGTGCTTGTAGAGATTTTTTGGGGGGGTACAATGATAGATATTTTTCAAGATAAGAAATACAATATGCTTGCAATTGTATGACTTTGGACAGGCTACGGATCTTAACCTAGTTGGTAATAATAATTACAGTGTATGCTGCATATTCATGATTGCCCACCTCAAACTTGGTGCCTGGAATGTGTTGGAGTGTCTTCCTGCATCCTTTAAGTGGCTGTCCTAAGCCTTTTCTCATCTCCATTCAAGCCTCTGCCCTACCCCTCTCCTCACTCCCACATCCCGACAAGATGGAGAGCATCTGTTTTCATTTCCCTCTATTTCCCATCCCCTCTTTCACAGTTTTTCTGGAGTTTTTCTCTCCAGCAGGCAGGACCTTCTCCTGCGTTCGAGGCTCAGCATCCTGCCCCTCCTACTTCATGAGAACAATATGCTGCTCCATCAATCATCTTTAGTCATCTGTATCTTCGGCCTCACCCTCACTTGTTCCTCTCTTCCTAGAAATAAACATTTGATATGGATTAAAAATAAGAAAGAGAGAGAATAAAGAAGTGGAAAGCTCTTCTCTAGATATTCCTCTGTTGTCTTCTCTTTAGAGTTGAGTCTTTCAGGAAAAGAATCCACACTTTTTGCCTCCACCTCACCTATTTAAACCTTGCCTATTTGGGGTCCTAACCACCCCAGTTTGTGTGGGACTGTCTCGGTTTTAGCCCTGAAAGTTCCAAGAAGCCCCTCAGTCCTGGGCAAACTGGTATGGATGGTCACTCTACTTCTGCCTAGTGTTTCCCCAAAATTGTTCTCACTGAAGTCTCAGTCACCAACCACAGGGTCTTCAGCCTTCAGCTTTTTTGACCTCGGCACTGCATCTGAACAACTGGGCCCCACCTTCCTAAAGCTCTCCTCCTTGGGTTTTTGGAATATCATCTTCTTTTGGTTTTCTCCTAACTTTGTGGCCATGCCCACTTCTTGCTGGAACTCCCATCCACTGGTGTGCCTCTGGCTCCTCTCACTTCGGCCCTTTGCTCTTTATACTCCACACATTCTTTCCCAGTGATGTGGCTCTTCCCAGGGTTCCAGCTATCACTGATGCACCGAGGACCCCCCAAATCTAGGCCTGCTTGGCTTCTTTCCTCCATCCTAGACCCATTTCCCCTCCTATTTCCTAGACAACTTCTCTTGGAGGGGTGAGGGCTCATAAGCTCTTCAAACTTTATGTCTGAAATTGAATGCATACACAACTGGAGTAGCCCACAGTCAACCTGGTCACACTCTTCTTGTAGCGGCTCTCATCCTGACCAAACAGTTGCCTAGGCTTAGTCCATACTAGCTTCTAAGTCAGTATGTCTCAAATATTTTTCTTCATCACCTTCAGAAAAACCTCATTTTATGTTATGTCTCAATATATCCATTTCCTATTCATATAAGTTCATATCCATATAAACATACTCACATTTAATAATTTAGGTATTATTAGATTATTATCTATATTAATATTCAATGATCTATTTTAATAAATCATTGAAAATTTTTTTTACCAAGCCCAGATTCTTACTAGGAGCTATGTGAAACACTGATATTTTCTTTTCTATTTAATAAAACCTGGTTATTATCCACTCTGTGGCTTTTATGGCTCACTAATGAGTTGAGCTTGCTGTTTGAAAGATGCTGTTCTAAGCAACTCTTGTGTGTCTCTTCAGCACTCCTTTGCCAATGTCACTTCCTTAGTTTGAGCCCTCATCACCTCCCACCTAACCTAGTGTAAGGATCTCCTAATGACTTTCTTGTCTATGAGGTCACGATCCTTTAATCCATCTTCACCATCACTCCCTGAGCTGTTATTTCTAAAAAACAACTTTAGTGCAATCATTACTTTCCTTAAAATCTTTCAGTGGCTCCCTGTCATTTCCAAGGTGAAATTCAAAGTCCTCAGCTTAAACATGTGGCTCCTGCCAGCCTCTCTGGTCTCACCTACTGGTCCTCCATAGTCCCTGTGTTTCGGGAATTTAGTACTAATTATAAATAGTTGCTTGAATACTCCATATCTATATCACTTCCATGAA